TTTTTCCACTAGATTTTTCTCTGAAAGGAAGGTATGATTCTCATGATTTAGACAAACAGAAGTTTTCGAATTCGTTAGTATCTATCAAGCGTGCTGGCACCATCCAGCCGGAGTCTGGTAGTAGGTTCGATCTAGTCTCGAATGCTTTTGCAGAACTGTCCACTATTTGGGTTTAGAGGGATAACTTTCTACAAAATTTGTCCTATACTTTGCCTCGGTTAGGTCAGGGTTGTGTTACGTTTTAAAGAGACAGTTATTCTAACGAAGGATCAAGAACGATGGTTGAACTGCACATAACAGCTTCGTTTGTGTTGACACATAATGAGTGTTAAATGGCAGGACTATACGAGGAGTGATTATTCTCTTCCGGGAGCAGGTGACCTTAGTAGATGTCAAGTTTAAGAAAAGATAATTGGCCCTGTTAGACAAACTGCTTGTGCATAAACTGTTTTCTCCAGCCCTTGAGTTTCCTGTGGGAACCGAAACATGGTATAACGCGATCAGGAGGTCAACGTGTAACATGAGAGATTAATCTATTTCGGAGAGGAATATTTTTTTAGGATACAGTAACATAACTTGTGCCTTATGCTAAAAGCGTTGAAGGGCTGCGCATGCTAACGGTACAAAGTTTCAACCTCACACAGACACAACGAAAGTCGCCAGAAGTTTATTCGAGAATCTGCAGAACAAGTGCCTTGAACGGGCTATTAGATTTGGAGTGATTCAGTATTGACTAATGGAATACAATCGACCCATCGTTGGTGTAATAATCTTTTGATGTCTTTTCCATCTAGATAAATCGTAGCTACTATTAGCAGTGTGAGATTTAGGCAGAAATTCTTGTAATTTTTCATATCTGCATAATTTTAGGGCTAATTACATTCATCCGTTTTCAGGTACGTGAGCTATGCCGTCAGAAGATTCAAGAAAGAGGAGTTGAAAATATCACTGTTATGGAATTGGTCGCCGAAATTACTCCGAGAGCACGCCAGTCTGTTCCAGAGGCAGTCAAACGTGAACTGCTAACTCAACTGCACAATTTTTTCCAAACTCAATCTGGAATGTCGGATTTGTAAAGCAAACTTTTTCTCTGGGACCAAATTGACAATGTACGCTATTTCATCAACAGGTATCATGTGTAAAAACATTTTTGTTCATTTCCAATCAAAATTACGTTATCTTTTAATGTTCGCCTATATTTTATCACATTGATTTTAGCAGCTTTTTATTTTGCAAGATATCATTAACAGAGCTTTTTAGGCTATAGACTCCAGGATGATGTTTCTCGCGTGTGCATTGCGATTATTCATGACATTAGGTTATGGTTCAGTATTCTCGTTACGGTGTATTCACCTTATAAGTGTTACCTATGAGTTAATTCAAAAGTGTGTTTGCCATGCTTCTTAGTCGTCCAAATGCAGTGAAAATAGTTGACGATTTTTGTAGTTTTTTCGCCGTGGGCTCAACCGCAAGTTATCTGAACATTCTAAATTAGCTTATGACCTGAGTGCTAGATTAATGGCTTGGACTTGCTGCCTTTTAATCTGAATTTTGCTTTTATTCTCGTTTTTGTGATTTAATATTTAATTTAAGCTATTTAAGCTATATTTTAATTTAAGATTTAATATAAGCTGTTATACGCATCCATAATATGTTGTAAAAAACGAAACTGATTCGCTGTTTACCTTGCTAAACGCATTGTTTGCTGCCTCCTTAATACACATATCTGTACTATTCTTAAAGGTTGTCCTCAAAGAAAAGCATTAGGATAGGATGAAATCAACAGTTTAAGGAGCTTTTTTTCTGCTGTAACCGTTTATAAAGTTTGGATATTTAATTTATGAACTTGTTTCAGGTTGGAAAATGGAGTATCGTCACGCACCTTTTAAGAAACAGAAACGTAGATGTCGTGACAATGATGCCTGAACGTTGACTATCAGTGTGAATTTGTCTTAATTATATTTCTTGTACGAGATTAAATCTTGAGACTTCAACACTTGCTTGCCTGCTAGAAACCTTTCTGACCGATGGATATTGATACAGTTGTTGCATTTTCTTTTTAAGGAATATAAATTAGGTTCATGGGTAGCAGTGATACTCTTGAAAATGAATTGAGCGATGACGGCTCGTCCACATACGATCTGTTAACCGTTGCTGCGTCCATGTTCATCATCTTTGGTGGAATGATTCCTTTCTACTGTCAACACCAAGAGATACTGAGAACGAAAAATTTTCGCGGATTTTCTTTGTTCGTTTGTTTGAACTTGATCATCTCAAACTGTCTGCGAATCATGTTCTGGTAAGTATTTTTTTGATTGCGTTGGAAAAGGAAACCTAAGTAACCACAGACATGAGCCGCCAAGCGTTCTGCTACTTTTATGCGAATTCTGAGCTGTCCCATTCCACAGATACCAGTAGATAAGTTTCTAATTGCCACGAAGTTTCGATTTAATGGGCATCGCCGATCAACCGGGCATCACAAATGCGACAACCATTTGTGTAAGGAAAGGCGCTTAAATGGTAGCGTCCGGCGCTAAGAGTCATTTCCGGGATAAATAACTAGATCAGTTAAGGTTTTTTCGAACAAGATTTGAGGAAACAGATTTGCAGCAAAATCTTGCAGAGGCCGTAAAAAATGACTTTATCTTTCCGTAGATCTGGAGATCTTCCTACTTCCTCTGGAGATCTTCCTACTAGATCTGCCTCCTGAAACGGATTCTGAGTGTTATTTGGTAGAACGGTGATCTGTTTTTCTTGCAACGTGCTAATTTACATTCTTCGCTATTGCAGTGACATCAGTAGGCTCTTGCTTATGCTCTTATTTCATTCATATTTTTTATGGTTTCCAGCGTGTTTCTGTGTTGCTTTGTATGACTGATAGTTTGTCAGTAGTTTTTGCGCTTTGTGTTCATGTTTCCTATTCACTTCGCAGCACTAGATGCGCTGGGATCAGTCGGTAGAGCGTTAGACTCAAAGCCGATAGGTCGCAGGTTCTAGTCCTGGTCGAATCGCTTGCCTTTGATCCTTAGAGGTTGATTAATGAGGCGACTACACACTCTGTTACAGGGAAAATGAAAACTGCACTATGCTTGCCATTGACCTGTCAACTGACTTTAAAGTAAAGCTTTCCTTGCTGATGGCATGGCAGTGAAGATCAGCGTTATGTTCAAGAAAACAAGGTTGCCAGAAACGGTTCCATTGTAAAATGTGGGGAAGTCCAACATACCAACAGTTGTAACCTATTTTCCTTCCTGTATGCACGCATTGATGAAGGTCTTGCATTTCAAGTGCAAGGACAGTTTTTCAGATATCGACATCTTTAATTTTCTTATAGTGTTCCACGCTGTTTTTACTTTTCTTTTTCTTTTGCAGAGTTGGTTCTCTGTTGCAGAGATCAGCTTCCCAGGTAGATATCTGAGATCATAATCATTAGCAGTTTGGCTGGTTGCATGTTTTTCAAACATGACTTGAAGCTTCTTCAGATTCATTTTCAAGTCTGTCTTGGTATTGGCTTCGCTTGATTCTTAGATTCTTTTCTATAGTTCTGTATATTTTATTAAGATAGGAGTATTATCAGCAAACCGTGCGCTACTTAAGTAAAGTTCATTTCAAATTTCATCCCCTGATTTTTTGTGTGAAGTGTCATGAAGGCCCTGTTTGCCGTCTGTGATGTTTTGGCGCAGACCGCTGGCTGTTGTCAGCCCTCGTTCCTGCGGTCGCTACATTG